TAACATAAGGATTAATGTACATTTAATTCTATATTTGTTCTGACATTTTTTCCCTGCTAAAGATAAAGACTTCCTCTGTGTGCCTGATAGATATATTTTTTTCTCCACAGAGCTTTCATCATGCACTTAAGGTTTAAGAATTCAGAGCATGTTTAACCTTTTTTTTTCTTAACAAGGGGCAATAGGCTTTCATAGCAGTGCCCTTTCATTCAAGAGTTGTTGCCAATTTCTTCTCAATGGACATAAAAGGTCAACCCACCCTTTTGTTCGGGAATTATTTTTCCTATTTTTCTTAACAGCGGCTACATCATTCAACTAGTAATTAGGGAGCAAAATTGAGAGAATTATGCCATGGTCGCTGTGCATGTTTGAGCATACTGCAGAAGAAACAGAGTTTGGTTTTATCTCCAGCAGAGCACAGATTCTTTGCCACCAACAGTGTGGATTTAATGACCATGAAAATTCAATTTTTTTAACATGTGGTTCTCCACTAAAGATCAACATCGTATAACTTTTGCCCTAGATTCCCCTTAAATATTGAATATTCATGATCCCCAGAGGATGACTCACAAAGACTGACTTTTTATATATTAATGATACTTATAATAATGATAAAATACATTTATAGTTGTGTAAGTTTATCGTTCTATAAGCAGGTCAAAGTTTTGTCACATCCACTAAATGATTTATTTATATTTATATGATTGGCACAAAGCCTTTTACAGACATTCATGGTTTCCAGATGATTTATCCGGAGGACGAGTGGGGTCCCCTCACTTTTCCTCTATGTGAGCAGAATGCCGTTAACTTTTGTGTAGAAATCCATGTTCACCTTCAGATTTTGTTTATATCTGTGTGTATTTAGAAAAATGCACCATCTGGTTGAGATGATGAACATGGTGAATATTTCATCTGCTAAAAACTCAGCATGTTAGCTCATGATAGCATTTACTGTACCTCTAAACAATGATGTGCTTGACTACAGCCTCACAGTGCCACTTAAACTGCTTTCGACTCTTAGTAATGTTGAGTATATGGTGTATTTTTGACTCAGGTAGATCCCTGTAAACACTGTGAACTCCATGTGCATTAAATGAAACTTTATTCTTTTTCAAAGTCAAGACTAGACAACAGATGTGTTGATTATCGAAATGCAACGTGGATGATGCTATGTATTTCTTAGCTATATAATCTTAGCATTTTTCCCCAGATAATACCATATTTGCTGCATACATTTGGGATCCACAGCCTATAAAGCAGCCGTACTGATATATGCACCTGTTTGTACATCTGGTACCTGTTTTCCACGATAAGAGGAACAAAAGTAAAACACAAGCCACATCCTTTTAATCTTCCCCTCCAAGCTAAACCCAGCTGATAATCTAATACTTCCATGAGCTCACAGCATGTGTGATGCGCAGACTGTATCCTTGGCTCTTGTGGTTTCTTCCAAATTCTCAGTGAAATAGAACTGAACAAAAGTAAAAGCTGGCCATTTGCTGAAAGGCAGCATAACCAGCAATTACAGCCATCTGAACTCGAAAATAGTCAGAAGTTAATTAAACAGGAAATTCAGCAGCCAAAACAAGGAGGTCACAGATAATGTGTGTGTGTGCGTGCCTGTTGGTGTTATCTTCTGCGACCCCCCCCATTGTGAGCTGTCAGACAGCTTCTCATTACCCAAACGTTGTCTTTGCTGCCAGAGAATACAGGACGTATGTGTGTGTGGCTTGGCTGAATGTCGTCAAACCGTATGTGTTAGGAGTGAAACGCATGCTGGCTCTCCCATGTGCATCTACCGTGGTTTAAGTTGCATAAATCAGCACATATAACACTTCCCGCTATCTGTCCTTGACATCTGCAATCTTTAATGCATGTGCAGTAACAGTCCACGTGGAGACGCTTTACTTATGTGAACTAAGCCATTTGTAAATATTTTACACGCCATCTCCTGGGAGTTCACGTGCAGAACTAAGGTTTTACGTACATGTGTAGATGTAACATGAGATGAAACTCTGTAAGCACATGGAATCTGCATTAATGGATGGATTTTCTCGGGAAAATCTGACGTGCTGAATGTATTCTCGCATTCTTGTCTGTCACACAATCCTCGCTCTGTCTCTGACCCACACACATAAACACACACAGCTGCACACCGTGTTGCTCCCTATCAAGCTGTCTCCTCACCGCTGCGTTTCTCTTTTCCGATCTTCAGTCTCTGACGTGTCACTGTGCTGATGATGATCATCAGGGAATTAGTACTCACATCTCATTACTGATATTATGAATTGAGTGTCACTGTGTGTGTGCTTAAATGTTTGTAAGTGTGTGTGTGTGTGTGTGTGTCAGTGTGTCACTTTCCTCCAAGTGTTGAAAACACTTTCATTTCAGTTGAAACATTCTTGTCATTTAGTCTTTCACTAATCATGTTTGATCAGCCTGTCAAAGCAGTCTCAAGTGATGTGTTGTACTGTTCTATGTTCAACATGTTGTCTTTAGAAGGTGGTCTGTGAACTTTTAAGCCGTTTACCTCATTTCTTTGACTGACAGGAGCTGAAACCACAATTTGATTACCTTTATGTGTTCTTTGTTAGGTCAAGATACAGTTCAGTGTATATATACCTACAGTATATAGAAAAGCAGTATTGCACAGTGACTTGATGGGCAAGCAGAGCAGAACAACCAACTCCACCTGACCTCCCCTGGGGCTATAAGCAAAACTTTCCTACCTACAGTCACACCTGACTCCCCACTGCTCCCGGTACCATCCTCCCTCTTTTATAACAGTTTGCTCCATCTGTTGGTTTCAGTTTCAGAAAGAAAGCTGTAACCAGCATTAAATTACAGGCTACACAAACAGCCCACTCCAAACAGACATGCACTAGAACAGAAGAAATTGCAGAAAATATAAAAAGGTAGGGAAAAAAAACAACAAACCATTGTCTTTCATTAAATATAATAAATAGTTGTGTTTGACTCTCACTTTTGTCAGGCACAATGTTACAGAAGTGGCTGGTAAGGAAGAGTGAATCGCAATGCCCAGTGAGTTCAGTGAGGACATATCTGCTAAAAGATAGCAAGTCGACATATCTGTTATTTGATGACATAGAACTTGGAAACTATATTTTGTATATTTCTCCAAAGGCAGGATAAAATTAAACATTTTTCTCAAGAGATAACACAAACAAAAAGCCACAGCTTAACATTTCTCATAAAGTGCAATTGTCACCATAGCTTTCCCTCGAGATGTAAAGCCCACATGTTTTTATCGTATTGAGTGATCTGAAGACCGCAAAATCAAGTCCTCATACAGACGACATAATTTTCTCTCCAACCACTTTTGAGGGTACTTATTGCTATTAGCTTGAGATGAGGTAATTAAGTTCTACACTAAGCCATTAGCGGTGAAAACCGTGTAAACCGTGCTCTCTGCAGAATGATTACATTTCATCTTCCTCTGCTCTACAAATGTTTTACGGAAGAACAAACTAAAATTTAAAATTCACAAGCTTGTTTCTTAAAAAACAACACAACTTAAATACTTTTTTGCATCTTTTACATTTCATAGTCGTTATTTCCCATTGTAAAGGTTTGTGATCATTGCCTTTAATTCCTTTCATTCTTGGATCATATTGGGGAGTTGAGCTCTAATTAGATTTACTAATCAATCGTCTTCAAAGGTTAAATATAGATGAATTTTCAAAATGTCAAATGCATTAATTTTGGAAAACCTCTCTTACACCTAACTTTGTATATTATCAGTTTTATCAGTACAAATCATGAAGTGCTTGGTTTATTCTCTCTATGAAGTATATTTGTGAAATATTTCACTTCCTATCTACTAATTCCTGAAATTGTTGTCTGTCTGCCTGTATGTGGAATGCATATCTGGAATACTGTTCATGTCGTCATCTTTAAACTCTGTACTTGAGTCTCGTTAAAGGCCCAAGGAAGTGCATTGTTAAATTTAATGCAATATGGACATATGTTCAAGATAATTAACTTTGAATAAACAAGCTACCAGTGCTGTGGCTGGGACTTAGCGCTGGTAGCAGGTTGAATAAACTGATATTCTCTCAGTGCCTTTCAATCCCGCTGCCTCTTAACCCATCAGTCATGAAGCTGGCCTTGATTCTTGGCCCCGTCAGAACATCTCTGCGATTGCTGCTGCTTTTGTCCCTCATAATGTTTCTACCCTGTCTGTGGTGACTGGAAGCAGCGTATACCCAGGGTTAAACATAAGGTTAATGTGTAGTGCGAGCTGCCACGGTAATTAGTTCAGATAGAATCGTATTGATTGACCATGCACTCAACCTTCTATTGAAAGCACTTAGATGGAACTGACGGAGGGGGTGAAAAGAAAGGGAGGGGAAGAAAGATGTAGAGCAATAAAGTGTACAAGGTTTTATTGTATGAGATTCAACACACTCTTCCCCTTGTTGGATGTCAAAGCAATTGACCGTTTAGCGCTGAATAACCCTATCCACCGTTTACTTTTTGTCAACTGTTAGCTGTTACAGCCCCTGGTCTGTTTATCCTCAAGGCCCCAAGACTCCTGGGGTAGAAAAGAGGTTATAGAGAGAAAAGAAAGAAAAGAAAAGAACAAAGATGAGGAGGGAAGTGTTTAGGGTGCTGAACACGGAGAAGACTCGAGAACAAATAGGGTGACAGGGACATCTAAAGAGCCTCTCAGTGTGTGTGTGTGTGTGTGTGTTTGTGTGTGTGTGTGTTTGTGTGTGTGTGTGTGTTTGTGTTGGTGCTGATTACTGCATGTTGGACCTATAGAGTGAATCGGGGGAACTTGGTGAACTTGACTGTGAAACTTTCTGTCCATTTGAGCTGCAACCTCCTATTGGTGTAGTGTTGTCAAGTGACTTGTGTGTGTGTGTGTCGGTGTGTGTGTGTGTGTGTGTGTATTTGTCTCACAGTCACTGTCCCCTGTGACATCCCCCCTCCCCCCCCATTACAGCTAACCCCCCCTCTCTTCTCCCCACCTCCAGGGAAGCTGGCGCCGAAAACTGGGGCACAGAAGGCTGCCAAACGCTCGCGTCAACCACTGTCCACACCAAATGCCTGTGCAGCAGGATATCCACCTACGCCGTGTTAGCGCAGCAAGCTAAAGACCCGGTGAGTCACTGCGATGCATGGCCTGACGAACTCATGTAGGACTCGGGGAGAGGGAGGGGGCGAACGAGGCAGTGACTACCAGAGGCCAGGTCAGTGAGCTGGCCTCTGGTAGTCACTGCAGTATGAATTTAGCTGGCATCCCCTGTCAGATGGATTTTACTGCAAATTGCAACAGGCTGTACAGGCTTGTTATTTACTGTCTTTTTAGAGGGATGTGCTCGTACGACCTGTGTCTTACTTTATCGCAAGCATCTTCTTTTGGGGGAAACAGGTGCAGCCTGAACATAGTTGTGAGTGTTTAACTTTGTGCAAGACGCTGCTTTGATCGTGATGTCGTTCACTCGTCTAATTCACTCGTGATTGGTTACTCTCCATGTTATGGACCTTTTTGTTTTTGGGAGATAAAACTCAATCAAGATCAGTTTTCCTCAGCGAGCTGCTTCCCTGTGATGGGAGAGAGAAGAGGCATCCGGAGAAAAGAGAGAGATTTTTATTGTGTCTGTGTGTGATTTTTGCCTGCAGCACATACCCTGCGCCTCTATAAATAGTTCATGTGCCTTGTATTGTGCGTTTGACATGATTAAAGAAGACTTTTTAGCGGTTCGTGGGTAATGTCTGTTCTGATGCATTGACCCAAACTTGTGTATTGCACTGATGGACATCCGAAGACTGGACAGCTCTTAGTTCACCTTCCTTTTAGAGTCCAACAGAACCAAATTCATTAATTGTTCGGTATAACATCCCACATTGTCACCCCATTTATTTCACACCTCCCTGCTATCCACACCTAACCCAATTTATTATTTATACCCACTTTCTTGCACCTTTTTTCTCCTTCTTATCAGTTTTCCTTCTCCTCCCTCTTTCACCCTCCTTTCACCTTATTAACACTTTCAGTTGTTACTCACTTCATGCCACAGCTCATTGACTGCTGTGGTCGCAAAATGTTCCCTTAAGCTGTGGCTGTTAATTTGTCTCCATGCTTACTTGTGCCCAATACCCACAAGGACAGTGATTACATTAAATAATCAGGCAGTGCAAGGAGATGGAGTTTGGCTAAATTTGTTTTTACACACTAGAATCTACAAGAAGTTTTCTTTTTTTCCCCCTCGCTTAATGGTTAGTTTAGAAAATTGAGTCAGTAAAGCAGATCCCTGAGCACTGGAGGAGAACTCCAGGTGTCACAGAGATGGGAAGTGATTGTGAGGAATGGAGGGTTTAGGGGAGGAAATGTTCAACCGAACAGAAAAGGCTGTTCAGTCTCAGCTGGAAGGGAGAGCAGAGAGAGAGAGATGGGAAGGAGATTCCTGCACTAAGTAATAATGCATTACAACCAGTGTTGCTGAGATAAAGAGCTGTACACTTATGCGGACATCTATTCTTGAGTACCCTGTTCATGTTGCTCAAATAGCACTGGTAAGTGCCATATGGAAGACATTAATGTCCCTGTGTCTACATACATTTGCTCACATGAAAAAATACAAGATGTGGCTCTGTACGTTGGTAGGGCAGACGGACAGCAGTAAGACAGGATAGTGTTATAGAGTTTTAAATCGAAAGGAGGATCTTGTTCTCAAGTTCAGGTTCTCTATTTTTTCATTCTCATTATAAGAATTCAAAGTGTCTATTATTTATATTTTTAAGTATGAAATGACGATGAGCAAATGTATTATCCTCTGATTCTCTACCTCTCTCAAATTTCCCTGAGAATTATAGTTCATTTAATTTCACTGTTGAGCTGTCCTCAGCAACAGAACATTCATTCATTATAGGCTCAGATATTACCTTTGGGAACTGGGAGGGACCCAAAACAGAGCAAAAAGAGATTGAATATTAGATTCACACTTTCTCAAGTTGTACCGTTGTACAACTGAGACGGTGAACCTAACACCTGCCCTTACAATGACTGTTAAATAATATTGAGCATCTCACAACCCCCAATAACCAGCCGACTTGTAAAGGATTTCTATAGCGTACCATGTAGGCTTGTGTTTTATGAAGTCTAAAGAGGGTCAAAATATGGTAATGGCCCTCATGTCAGAAACTCAAATGATTCATTTTATTGTCCTTCAAAGCCTGAATTACTTCACAAGGGTCTGGGACCAATTACAGAACTCAGAGAAACATTAATTCCCATTATATGGAGAAAAAAAAAGATAGCGGTGACCTATAAGCTGAATGGGTCATAAGAGCAGCTATTTCTGGTTCCCGTGACTTCTCTCTCAGCCGAACAATATTGACTTTCCCTCAACACACAGAGAGCAGGTCGTCCATGTAGAATGAAACAGGGGAAAATGCATTGACGTTTGTGACATTTGTGACATCTGTGAAGAGTGTGTTGGTCATTAGCGATTCATCACTCAGCTCCCTGGTACCAACCATTAGACCCAGTTGCTGAGGACCGGAAGGTATGGGTCAGTGTTTGTGTGTCAATGGCCCTCAGTCAGCCCTCAGTTGTGGCCAGCTCTGAATGCAATTTGTTGCTTTAGGGTGCTCCAGTGTTAGCTGTTTATTCCAGCGGAAATTGGATTCTACAAAAGAGGAGGGAGAGACAGATTGAATTTGGCATCACATAAAAAAAATAAAAAAACAGCCACATCCAGACATGCCAATGAAGACAACTATAGGTATGGATGTTTGCACTTAAAAACAATCACAAAAGCATGCATACTCATGCAAAAATACACAAACACACACAAAAACTTGGACTCATATGTTGTGTCCAGGCTGATGGCTGCTGGAGTAGAGCTGAGTATCAGCAGCCCAGCTCTGACAGCTTATCCTGGGCCACGGCGCTAGGGACAAGGGGGGTTGAGGATTAACCTCCATGTTTAATAGAAAAGGGAGGAGAGGGAGGTATGGGAGGGGGTTTGGCGGTGGAGGGATTTAGAAGCAGCGCTGCCATTACAGGCCGTTTTTACAGTAGAGTGAGGGATAGTCAGTTAATCCTGTTTACTTTCAATAGCCTATGAGATTTCCATGTGTGTGTGTGTGTGTGTGTATGTGTGTGCGTGCGTGTGTCCATGGAGAGACCTTCACTATCAGACACAAGACAGAGGTTGTTACTTTAGAGAAACAGCGGAGAGAGAGAAAGAGGTGATTGAGTGAGGTCATGAAGCCATACAATAAGCCTAGCCACTTAATTCCCAAAATGACTGCAGAGGGAATACAAACCCCACGGATACGTCTGGACTCATTGCTTTCACCACTCTCATCAGGATCATGGGATTTGGAGTAGACAGAGGTATTGGCTTTATAAAAGTCAGTTTAACATCTTGCGCCACTAGTTAATCAAGCAAGTTTATGCCTCTTTGCATCATTTTTGTCAGCACATAAGACCGCTGTCCTAGTCATGTTGAAATAAAAAACAGTGCCCCTCTCCAACTTGTCTGCTGAGATAAAGTGAGAATCGTAGGTAACTAGGAATGCAAGGGAAAAGGTCGGTAGTTTAAACATCACGTTAGACCTTGATCCAGTCAGCCTATAGGAGGGCACACACAAACCCATTGGCTGGGAAATGAAAAATAACACAGCAGGCACAGAGGAGAGGGGATGCCGTCTCTGTTCCCATAAATAATTTAGAAACCAATTACTGTATCAAAGCAATTTTCTGAAAAGAACAACATGTGAAGTGAGTTCTGCATCTAAAAGCTTTCTCACAGCTTCTTTTACCTGCCACACTGACTGCCCCATCATTCTCATGAAATGATTGGGTCTACTTAAGATGGATTGCAACAGGTTTCCTCTGCTATCATTAGCTCTTGCCAGCACCTAATCAAGATGGAATAATCTTGTGGCTCAGTCTATTATTTAGACGTATTATTGCCTGAAGTTCTGTGAGGGGATGATGGGAACGAATGAGGGGCCACAAGATGGCTGCTCATATTTTACTGTATTACATCTTAACTGGACATATCGTGCAGGAAGAAAACAAAGCTTTAACTAAGACTACTAGGTTACAGTATCCACGTCAAAATCTTTGAATCACTTGTCAAATTAATTGAAAGTTAGTTGGCGACAACAGAAATTGATGACTGAGTCCTCAGCTGAAATATTTTTTAGATGCGTTTCCCTGTGAAGATGCATAATGACTGAGCGTTGTTGTGGCAAGGACAAGTTTACTGGCTAATTGGATTTTTTAACATTGAGTAGACAGTGTTGTTTTGGATGTGTGTGCGCGCCAGTATACACAGGATAACAATTTGAGTGAGCTTCGCTGCTTTTTTGTGCTGCTTAAAAAATAAATTTGGCCTAAAACATGGAGGGTATGATGCCCCTTTGGTCAGCTCATAATTAAAATATGACAAAGATTGTGTGAACCATAGTGTGTATCAACAGATGGATGACATGAGTGCTTCCCACAATCAATCTACACCTGGTGGCTGGCTGCAGGAGCAATCATAAATTCCGTCTTCTTCATGTTAACTGACAGGACATGAACCTTTAGAAGTTATTTATTTAACTCAAATTTTCACATTAAATTTTCTCAAAGATTGTTTCTGTAATTTTCGTTTGTTCTTATCACACTGTCGTATGTTCAATAGTAATTTTTTTCGTAAATTTGGTTTTGATTAGTTAGGATTAGCTAAGCTAGCAGCAAAAACATCCTGAGAGACTGACTCAATGTTGGTCATGGGCATTTATCAGAGACCTCACTAGCACAGCTCCATTCTCTGATATTTAATGCGCAGATTCCAAATGCACAAGATGTCAGTTTTCATATCCGGGATATTTTGGCTTCATTGCTGGCTATTGGGAGGAAGTGGAGACACTTTATTTACAGTCCATGATTTTAAATAACTAGAAGTGTTGCAGTCAGTTTTGCAGCGCTTCTATCACTATGGTTTAAAGTAGCCCTTGAAGAAATGCTGTATGGTGCCATATGTTCATACTTTGTGTTGGATCAGGGCTTTACTCTATAGCTGATATTCTACATTTAGCCTCATATAGCCGTGGAAACCTGAATCTTATTAAAAAAAAAGGCCAGCACTTGAAATGATGACTTTACAATTTAAGTCACTATGTCAGCCTTGTAGGTT